ACAGAAATGTTGAAAAAGTACTGGGTTTCCTAAGAAATCCGCAAGAGCGCGCGGGGTGAATTTTTGAAACCCTTTTTTTGAAAAACCATTGGGTTTTTCATGTTTTTATGTGAAAATCGCTACGAAGACTAAGGTTTTGGAAGGATTTCGTCTTGCGCGCGCGAGTGTGCACTTCGTGTCATTTTTTGCAAGGGATTCTTGAAGTTTGGTCATGTTAGAACAAGAAATGTCCACTTCGCCTTATTTTTTGCAAAGGGAAAACCGATCGTAACAACACAACCGGATCTGGTATACCCCGTTTTGCCTGAGATTTCTTCACGAAAATGATGAAACTGTGGCTGCGGCCTAGGCGCGGCGGGGGGGGCGCGCACCAGGGGTCCCAACAATAATTATTCTTTGGAATTAATAATGTTCAACAACAATAACAATAACAATAACAATAACAATAACAATACCAATAACAATAACAACTATCAATAACAACAACATTAATAATTTTAAGTCCGTTCGCCCTTATATGCTCGAGTGTCCAATAACGCGTATTTCCCAAACCTCGATACCCGCCCTCTTCGGCTTCGATCGAACCCCTTTTGGGGGGTACTATACTTTCCTTCCCTGCAGGCCGGGCCCCGGCAAGCGGCGGGGCGGCCGCGAACCGTCGGCCTGCCCAGCCGCAGCGCTGATCGGCGGGGCGGCCGCGGACCGTCGACCCGACCCCAACAGGGACGGACAGGGGACCGACCACGACGACGACGACGACGACGACGACGACGACGACGTCGAAGACGACGGCAACGACGACGACGGCGACGACGAGCGAAAGCGAGAGCGAGAGAGAACGACGGCAGGGCCACGAAGGGCACGAAGTGGGCCACGAAGGGCGACAGCGGGGACACGAAGGGAATGCGTATGGGGCCACGAAGAGCGCGAACGAGCGGGGACCACGAAGTGCAGATAATGCGGGGCCACAGAATGCAACTATGGGGCCACTGAGGGTAGCAACTGGGCCACGTAGGCCACTGAAGGGGACACTAATGGCGACAGCGGGGCCACGAAGGGCATGCACATGGGGCCACAACGGGCGCGACTCCTGGGTGCCTGGGTGTCGGGAGCGCGGCGCTTGGGCAAATTGCAGGAAATTCCAAAGCAAGGCCATCCTTCTGTAAGTTGCAAGCAAGTCTCCAGCGAGAGCGCGACTCCAGAGCGCTGGGAGAGCGATACCTGAATAGATTGTAAAGAAGTCCCCAGCGAGAGCGCGATTCTTCAATAAAATGCGAGGAAATCTCGGACGGGAACGGGGGTCCTGGCTGAATTGTAAGGAGGTCTCAGGCGGGAGCCGTTGTTGTTGTAACCCGGGGGCCAGGGGGCCAGTTTGAGCAGGAAGACTTCCCCTGTCAAAAACCGGGTGCGAGCGTCGAGGGGCGCACTTAGATGAAGAAAAACAGTATAGAAATGATAATTCAACAACGATACCACCAACAACAACAACACCAACAATAATAAACGAAGAAGAAGAAGAAACATAATAATAAGAAGAAGAAGAATAAGAAGAAGAAGAAGAAGAAGAGTAATAAGAAGACTCCGCATCGCGGAATTCCATTTCCGCCACGCACCCAGGGACAGTGCATGACCGCTCGGCTCAGCCCCCTCACTATGACAAAAAACCCGAAATTATATGAACAGATTGGGAATCCTGTTATTTGTGTGTATTTATTTGTGTCCCATGGCCCCTTCACTTTCGCCCGCTCGCGCGCTGCCGCGGTTAGCCAGCGAACGAAGAACACGCGCAGTGCAAAGGCGGGGCTGCCACCTGTCACGCGGCGCCTGCGCGGAGTACGGGGCAAGGGCGGCATGGCGCCCGCTCGAATGCGGCCCCGCCTCCCAACGACCTGGCCAATGAGAAACAGGCGCCCGATCGGGAGCGCGCTGGTAAGTCTGCACGGCAGATGATCAGTCTGCACGGCGCCAGGGCGAGAGCAACATTTCGGCCGCTCGCGTGCGACCGCTTTGTCGACGAGTTGGCGGTCCAAAACTGTGTGCCGTGCCCACGCGGGAAGTCAGCTCTCACGGAAAATTGTGCGCCGCGTCCAGCCAGGAGCCCCATCTCCACGGTGAGTGAAGGCAGCGCCGAGGCCAGAGCGACAGTTCGCCTTGTCGCGCGCGATGTGCGCCCCGCCACACTACGAGCACACCTGTTGCAATGTCGACCACGGCAGAACGTCGGTGTGGAAACGTGTCGATGTCTTAGTGTTGTTGGGGGTGTCGGGTGGACTCCGCGGATGGGCTCCGATAGGCCGAATCTGTCTCGCAGTGTGAGTCTTCAGAGCTCGCGATACAGCAGGTATGCAATGACAAGACGGCGCCCCACGGGGGAGCCCCCAGGGGGTATACCTCGTGCCCGTTCGCGTCTAGATAGTGGGGATGTCTCTGTTAGCAGGGCTGCTACGGCGGAATAAAAAACGTGTTTCCGTTCTGGAGACCCAACACTGTCGCCTTATAGCAGGAATTCTATTAGGGCTTCCCACGCGAAGGGAAGTCGCAAAGGGGTATGTCGCGGGCCCGTTCGCGCCCAGATGATCGAGAATTGTCGGGCAGGATGGCCGTTTTGCGGCAAGTCGGCCAGGTCGAGCAATCCAGCCCCGCCCATTTCCGCCTGTACCGCATAGCACGAGAGCCAATGGTGGCGCAGCTTACTCTTGGGACTGGCGCGAGCTTCCCTTTCGCAGGCCTACAGGTTGACACCAACACCAATATCGGCGGTGTGCCTCCACCGAGGGAAGAAGATTTTGATTTCGGTGACTGTGGTAATATTCTGGCTTCAAGGGTAACCGAACTATTATCACCAACACCGAAATCTCGGATAATCTTCCCCCTGAGTTGGTGCCCATTTCTAGGGCTCCGACTCTTGGCGAGAAGAAAGCGCGCGCTCGCGGTCTCGTTTCCGACTTTTTGGCGAGCCGAAGAGATCACGGACCGCGCACGGGCTTGCTCTTTGGCTGCTTCGCTACGTTTGAAACACATGCTGGCTCGCTTGTCTACTACATAAACATACAACTTCAAAAACCACTCCGAAAAGATGTGACCCAAGATCCCTCGCTGTCTGAAGGCACCGCTGGGAGAGCCGCCTGTCTCCCCGGACAGGCCTTGCTGCTGAGCGCCCGCGCCACGGTCAGCGTGTGCGCCGCTGTGGCTCGCCACGCGAAGGTGCCTGGTCACTGGCCGTCGCCGTGGCTGCTGCCGTCTCCGCTCGCTCCTCTTCTTCCTCCGCACGGATCCTCCCTCCTCAGAGCCGTTTGGGGGTTTGAGGGGGCCCAGCATTGGCTCTGCCCAGCAGAAAGGAGGGGCGAGGTTCTAGGTTCGGTAAGGGATTTTGTTTTTTTCGGTCTCCAGGGTCTGTTTTCGGTGGGCCGCAGGACCGTGGAAGATTGATCCAGGGTGACAAACTGCACCAGCCAGCTCCCGGGATCGACTTTGAGTGGATTCGGTCTCATGCCCCCCAATGGCAGTTGATTCGGGATCCCAACCAGTCCAGACCCCAAGTCGCCTCCCTCCAACTCGCGGGAAACAAACAATGACACGAACTTACAAACTCGGAGGTCCGCGCGGATTCCTCGGATAAGCGTTGGACCCCCCTCCTTGGCGCGCGGAGCGCGCCAGGGGCGACGCCGGAGGCGCCGCTGGGGGCCCCCAGCGCCGATTCGAGGACTCCGCGCGTGCCTCTGAGTTTTTTCCCCGCCTGCCTGCCCCCCACCCCCTCTCGCCGTGCCTCCGTCCTCCTCTCGCGCGCCCTCGCGTGCACCATCGCGGCCGCGCGCGGTGGCGGGCGGGTGGTCGCAGGAGCAGCTGAGCGGGTGACCCGGTTGGGAGATCGTACTTGCGCAGTGTTCGGGGGTCCCCAAACAGGGTGGTGACCACACCGTGCGGTGAGTCGGTGGGTATTCGGGGTCACCGCACGGTTTTGGGACTCGGGTTGTTCTCCGAGGACTTCTCGGGCGGCTGGGGCCTCCGGGGTCCCAAGACCGTGCGGTGACGGACCGTGCGGTGAGGCCTTGGGGGATTTCGAGGTCACCGCACGGTCTGCCACCGCACCGCTTCGGGACGCCATAAGTGGCACGACCACTGGCTCTGCCCAGGTACCTGCAGGAGCTTTTAAGGGCATCCAATATTGTGTAGGATGAGGGGTGGAAAAGCGGGCACGAGGGATTGTCGTGTCCTTTGTTTGTTCCTATCATTGTCATCTCAGGTATCTTGTTCTTCGTCGACATCACGCTTACGTGCATTCATTTTTCGGTCCACCTCCATCGGAGGGAGGAGAAGCGATACCAACACCACCAGAGGGCCCACCTCCAGCGAAAAGGTCCACGATGCCTCCCCGAGCTGGATGCTGGGGATGCCTCGAGCGAGAGGGGGGGACCACACCACCAGGGAGACTCCCCTTGCCTCCGCGCGTCTCCTCGCCCTCTTGGTGCTGGCGTCGCCTGTCCTTCTTCCCACTCACACAGTGGGAAAACACACACAGTGTTTTTTTCCCACAGAGTGTGTTTGTGTGTGTTTTTTTTGTGTGTGTGTTTTTTCCCACAGTGTGTTTTGTGTGTTTTTCCCCACCACCTTCAAGGGCAGACTGTGCGATGCGCGAGTCCGCCTCAGGGCCGGCTCGGTTGGGACGCAGGCGTCCATCGGCTCCGAGCCGTCCAGCTTGCTGCACTCCGTCGCGGTAGCGTTAAATCGGGCGTGTCCCCCTACAGGGGGAATGTTCAAAAATAGTCCAACACTAGTCTGGGGATTTGTTTTTTGACTATGTTGGAGCATTGTTGGGGTATTTTTGCGTTGACTTTAGGCTCGGGGAGGCTCGGGTCAGGGAACCATAATCATGACAGAAGGGGACGCCCGCGCGCGCTCGCAGGGACTGCGCGCATCAGAGCGCGCAATTGGATCGTGCGAGCAAAGCGCGTTGGCGACAGCGGTTGCTGTTGGTTTGTTTCTTGCTTGTGTGCTGCTTGATGGCCGGGCAGCGCGGAGAGCTCTTCATCGAAGAGCTCTTAGATTGGAGGGTCGATTCCTCCGAGCGCGAGTCCCTTTCTGCGCTCGTGCAGAGAGAGGGACTGGAGTCGGCTGGCGATTTAGCGCATTTGTTTTGCTCGACGGACGAGGCGGAGCAGTGTGGAGTGCCCACGGCCTGGGCCGTGGCTCGGGACGTGGCGCGGGTGACGCCGTGGCTGGTGCCCGCGCATGGCATTTGCGCGGAGGGGCGATTTGGCGGCGCGGCGGCGGCCGCCGCGCCCGCCGTGAGCGCGGGGGCCGCGGCGGGGAAAGGGCGTGGGCCTACCGCCGCGCGCCGCGGTCGGCCGAGACGCTGTGCCGCAGTGGCGACGGAGGCGGCAGAGCGTGAGGGGCGCGTTCAGCTGGCGGTCAGCGTAGTTCGAGTGTCGCTTGAATGGCGCCCGGAAAGCGGCCTCGGGCAGGGGTTGCAGGAGGCGCAGGCCGAGATGCTCGCCGACGTCTCGTCCGCGGCGGTGTTTAGGCTGAGTAATTTCGAAGCCGGGACGCTGCGCACGGCCTTGCGCGTGTGGGGGCAGTGGGCCGAGTGGGCGGGCCGGCAAGGGCAGCCGGCGACGAGTCTGGCGCGGCAACCCATGGCAGTCGCCGAGTTCGTGCATAAGCTCTCGATCGCACGGACGTCCGGCGTCAGGATCTGGAACGCCTTGAAGTGGATGTGCGTACATTTGAAAGCGCCTTTCTGCCTGGACGATGCGTTTCGCCCTGTGCCACGTGATCCAGGCAGTGGAACCGTAGCACCGCCGGCCCAGGCCACTGTCGTCGAACCCGAGATGATTTACCATGTGATCGATTTCCTGGATGGCGCGAGAACGCCTGGGCAAGTCATGCTCGCGGCTGGGATGCTGGCGGTGGTATTCGCGTGGGTGAGGTACACGCACCTGCTGCGCTCTAGGCCTTTAGAGAAGTCTGTTTATTTTTGCTGGTTCCGCGCATCGAGGGGGAAGCAGGGAAAGCGACAGGGGCGACCTTCGTTCGATTGGTGCTTGCCGAGGCGGCTAGGTGGCGCGCGGTCCGCCGCTGACGCCTTGTGGGATGGTTGGCACAAGTTGGCGGCGCGGGAAGATCGAGCAGGAAGGGCTGTGCCGACGGGGCTCGTCTTCGATCCAGTTTCCGGCGCGCCGGTGAAGTTGGGTGCCTTTAACCGATCGCTGAAGGAAGTATTCCGAGGCTCGCTAGCGGACGATTCCCAGTTGGATCTTGTGACTTCGTACAGTTTGCGCCGGGCTGGGCCTACATGGGCGAGCGCGATACAATTGGACTGGGAAGCCCGAGTCATCTCGGGCGGTTGGACGGAGGGGGGAGACAACTCCCGTCGGAACCAGATGCCGATCGTGTATAATGCGCGTCGGCGGCAAGCCGAGATGTGCACGCGCCTGCACATGGCCGGAGTGTTGTCGTGCCTGCGGACCGATCTGGAGGCCCCAGTGCAGTGGGAGCAAGTGCGATGCTGGGCGAGTTCTGCGCCAGGAAAAGTAATGTTGGCCGACCTAGAGAAAGAGGCGCAGCAGCGGGTGGCGGTGTCGACCGTTCGTGAGAAGGCCGCGTTCTTGCCCCCGTCGGTCGTCGAGGAGTTGAGGCGGCAGAAGTTTCTCCGGATAATCGTGGCCCCGCGTGGACAGCGGGTGGGGCGCGGTAAAGCGCCGGGCGCGCCTCCACCCAATTGTCGGGGTCCTGCCGACGGGGGCGCCGCGGGTAAGGGCGGTGAGGGGGGGGCGGGCGCCGAAGCGCCGGGCGCGCGTGCGCGCGCTGCGCAAACCCTCGCGTCGGGGGCACCGCGTGCAAAGCGGGGGGGGCGCGGTAAAGCGCCGGGCGGTTTGCGTGGGAACGCGTTGCCTGCGCCTGCGAGTCCACGCAGAGCGCCGAAAGTTGCCGGCAAAAACAAGCGACCAGCAGAGGCGGGAGCGCGCGCCAGTCCGGCGTCGGTTGCCATTGCGGGCCGCGCAGGGCGAACCGCGGGTCGATCGCGCGGCCCAGCGGTATTGTGCCCGGGCGTGGGCGGCATTGGAGGCTGTCTCCATCCCCAGGTCCAGGGGAGATGAAGTGTCGGTGCGGCCGGGAGACGCAACCCGTGCAGGCCCGGCCGCGTTCCAAGCGCGGGGAGTTGACTGCGCCGGTCGCGCGGTGACCGTGCTTCCAGGTGACGAGGCAGCGCAGGGCGCGGAGTTGGGTGAATGTGACGTAAAGGGCTCAGATGGCGCGCCAGCGCACTGCGCGCCGCCAGTCAGGCAGGTTGCGGAGGGATCATCCGCGCGCGCGTCGCGAGCCGTGGGCCCGTCGCCCGAGCCGCGGGGCGCGATCGGGCACGTGCAGTCTGAGCCTGGGAGGGCTACCCGGGTAAGGGAGGTTATGGGGCCTCGATATCACGTCGCGATGCCCGTAATTCGTCGCCTCAAAAAGTCCAGAGCCTGGACGGACAGTGAGTTCGGGCCAGTGACGAACCTATGTCAGAATGGATTGAGTGATCTGCAGTGGTTCCCGGCGCTCCCGGAGGGAGCCCTGGTGTGCGCGGCGTGTGAAAAGTTGCGCGGCCGGGCAGCCCCGGCGTGAGGTGGTGACGTCATCGCGGCGGAGACGCGCGGAGTTGCGCGTGGGCCTGCCAGCGAATGCCAACTTAACGGATGCGTATGCGCGCCCCGAGGTGGGCTCGAACGCGGTCCAGAGAGTAGGTTTAGCGGAGCGACACGTGTGGTTCTCGGTATGTCTTTGTCAGTTGACGGCATTGCGCTGCCGGGGCGCGTCGGCGCTCGCGACGCCGCTGCACAATTCAGAGAGCTGGCCGCGAAGTATCAGTTTGATGAGCGCATCGCCACCCACCTGGTCGAAACCGTGGGTCTAGAGACGTTGGTCGATTTCGCGCATGCCGTCACGAGCGAGAACGAGTGGGCGCCGATCCTCGAGCGCGTGCCGGATCTCGAGAGGAGGCTGGGACAGCTGTCCCGCGTGCGCCAGGCGCGGCCTTCGCCTGCGCGGGGGGGGGCCCTGCCTGGCCCGCGCCGCAGTTCGAGCGCGTAGTGCGGCAGGCGTGGAAAGCCGTGTGCGATGCCGCCCGGGAGTCCGAGACCCGGAAGAGGCGCGGTTTGGACGAGAGCGACGATGTCCCATTGCCGTCGCCGCAGCTCGCTGAATTGAGCAAGCAGTTCTTCGCTCGGTATAAGATGGCGTACCCAGCGGAGTGTGAGCCGTCCGAAGCGTTGGTCAGTAAGATCAGCAGGGAGCTGGGCAGGCGCGTCCCATTGCACGCGGAGGGGGTGACCGCGTCGCGCGCGCGGCCCCCCATGGTCGGCAAGCGCCAGGTGACGATGATGAGTGTATGGAAGGTCCGCACGTTGCTGAATGCCGCGAGGGCTGCCAGGAAGCGGCAGCGCGTTGGGGATGTCGAATTCGTGTGCGACGAGAAGGAAGATCCGGATCCCGCGAAGGACTTGAAAATCTATATCGCGTTGCACCAGGTTCTCATGGTGGCATACGCGCGCGCTGGGGTGAAGCCGATTGACCCGGCGCCCGGGACGCCAGAGAAGGCGTCTTCGGATACGACGGATTTCGTGCAGATTCCGTTGGATGTCGCGATGGCCTACCATTTCCGTTTGGTCAAGTACGCCAGTGCGATGCCGTTCTCGATTGCGCTGCCTAACGTCGTGCGTCGGGACGAGGAGGAGCGCGCTTGGTGGACGGACAGGGTCCGCACCAGCGAGCTGAGCGTCGGGAAGATAATCCGCGAGGGCTTGCAGACTCGCGAGGTCATGTGGAGCCCGCCCTCACCGCCAGCTCCCGGGCCGCAGCGGCCGCCGACGAGCGTCGGGCGGAGCCAGCGGACAGGTGGCAAGGGCGCGCAGTTGGGCGATCGGTTGAAAGACGGAACCCAGGTGTGTCGCAAGTTCAACGCCGGGGAGTGCTCCGAGCCGTGCCCTCGCGGGTATAAGCACGCCTGTTCCGTCGTGATCAACAAGACGGGGCGCTTATGTGGCATGTCGAACCACTGCGCCCTCAAGTGCACCAGGAGCCCGGGTCTCAGTTTTTGGTTTCCCCGTTAGCTTGAAGGGGGCGGCCCGGGTCCGGGGGCGCCCTGGGTCCGGGAAAGGCGACGGTTAGCGCCGAATGTTCGGAACACCCGGCGTTGTAGTTTGCGACGCGAGGAACGCGAGCGGGGGCGCGGCCGACGGCGGCAAGCGCGGCCGCAAGGGCGATTGAAACGCACCCGCTTCCGCGCTGCCCGCCGCGGCAGAAGGGGCAGTCACCAGTGGGGTCGCGTGCCCCAGCGTCGTGGGCGCGCGATGGAACCAGGCGGACATCGCTGTGAAAATTCGGAAGTCCTTTCCGGAAGAGTGGCTTGTGGGCGTTCCCATCCCGTTCTTGCAAGACTTGTTGAATACTTCGCCATTCGTTGATTTCGCCATCTGGGCGGAGCTGCAGGACGAAGGACTACCTCTGGGATGTTCTCTGGGCAGAAATTCCAAGGGGCGCGCGAGCGCCGTGTTGGGTCGCCAGGCAGGCGTGCTCGACCACAGGCTAGCGCTGGCGCCGGTTATCGAACTCGGCGTGGGGGAGCGGGCACACCTCGCTCAATGCATCGAATTCGCGAGCGCGGGGCGATTGCCATTCGACGATGAGTACATGGCACCCGTTGATTTGAAGTATGCTGCCTTTGCCACGGTTGCGTTCGCGTGGGCCGGTGGTAATCGGCTGAGGCAGTGGCGCGAGTCTTGCGCCGGGGCGTTGAAGGAGCTTAGTCAAAGGCTGGCGCCGGTGTCCCGCGCCCTTCGGCTCTGGCAAAGCCCCTCAGTACATGCCGTGGCGCAGAACACCCACATCGCGCTGATTTGTGTTCTGACTTGGGTGATGGGTTGGCCGGATTGGCAGCTGGCCCAGAGATTTGTGACCGGCTTCAATATCGTGGGGCGATTGGAGGAGACGGGTGTCTGGGAGCGGTGCGAAAGTTCGGAACCTGTTTCTGAAGACCGCTTGTTGGCGGAGTCCACCGCGCTTTTACGTTCCAGGGACAAGCGACGGGTTGATCCTGAGGCTGAGTTTCTTTGGGAATCATGCTTGAAGGAATGCGAGAAGGGCTGGGCTGCTCCTCCGGCGTCGCTGGCCGCGATGGACCGCGAGTACGGCGCCGGGCGCTGGGCGGCCGTGCCGTCGTTCGTGCACGTGCAGCAGAACGGCAAGCGTCGGCGGATAGACGATGCTAAAGCCGGTGGGCAGAACGGCGCGACGGTGTACCCTGAGAAGTGGCACTTGCCATCAGCGTTCACGCCTGCATTGTATGGCAAAGTCTTGAGGCAGCGGTCGGGAGGTACGCCAAACACCGGAGGTGGCCTTTTCCCCCTCCCCGCCGGCCGGTGTGTCGCGGGTTTCCCGCGGGCCGTTCCCCCGGGTCCGTTCGTGTGGGCCTAGTGGGCCCCTCCGGTGTCCAAGGGGCGTGGTCCGGCCCGGTGTTTGGCGTGCGCCCTCAGGCAGGAAGCTGCGGCGGGAGGCTTTGCCGATGAGGGCTTAACCCTTGAGACTGGAGGCGAGGACCTGCCGGACGCATACAGGTCCGTGCCGGTCAATCCCGCGCAGCTGCGATATAACGTCATTGCGGCGCGGGAACCGCGCAGCGGGGAGTGGCGATACTTGACTGCATTCGCCATGCTGTTCGGCTTGTCGTCGAGTGTTATGAATTTCATGCGGTGGTCTGCCTTTCTGGAAGCCGCTGCCAGGCGCGTGGCGGCATTGTTGCACACAATGCATGTCGATGATGGCAGTCTTGGGGACCTCGGATTGGCGAAAGGCTCGGGACAGGCTTTACTCAACGTCTTGTTTTCGGAGTTGGGTACCCCGAATGCCAGCGCGAAGCAGCAGCGCATGGCCGCCACTGGGGCATTCTTGGGAGTCGATCACGACGTGTCTCGGGTTTTTGAAGGCAGAGGGGTGGTCTCCTTTTGGCCGAAGGCCAGCATGATTGACAAAATCAAAGGCCTGCTCGCGGAGCACCGTGCGCGGAACAGCCTGACACCAGCGGAGGCCTCGAAGCTCCGGGGCATTCTGCAGTGGTCGTCCTCCGCGATGTTCAACGGCGTCGGCAGCGCCGCGATGGCGCCGCTGAAGCAGAGGCAGTACACTGACGCGCCTCCGTGGGCGTTATCCCACGCGATTCGGCGGTGCTTCGATTACTTCGAATTTGTAATAGACCTTGCCCCGAAGAGAAGCGTCGACGTGAGCCCGCCCTCGTGTCCGCTGATTGTGATCGCAAGCGACGCGCGGGCTGACGGGGCGACCGCGCCCACAGGCGGCTACCTCCTGGTCGATTGCTTGACAGGGGAGCGTGTGGGAGGATGGTGTGTATTCGACGATGCCATACTCGCGGAGTGGGGTTTCTCGCCGGCGGACCGGGAGAGGGGCGCGAATCCGATCGCCCTCTGTGAGGGGGCCATGGTCCCCATTGTCCTGGCGCAAGAGGCGCGGAGGTGCCGAGGGAGGCGCATCCTGTGGGTGCTTGACAACACGAGCGCTCTCCACAGCTTCGTGAGTGGCAGGTGCGACCATGCTACCCTGGACCGGAGCGTCAAGCTTATGAATTTCTTCAAGGCGCGCGCCGCGAGGGCAAATCGCGGGGGGACGCGCCGTGCAGCGTGTCGCGCCAGTTTCACTGCGACATGTCCACCTGGCTCGAGTGGGTAGACTCGAAAAGCAACTGGTCGGACGGGATCTCACGGCGCGCCGTACGCGCGCGGGGGCGGCCTTCCCCCGAGTCGTCCACTCGCGCGGTGCCAGGCGGCTCGGCGAGGATAGCTTCGCCCGGGAGAATGGTTTTCGTACCGGCGAGGTGAGAGTGGACCCGGCCGCGTGGCGCGGGTGCTTACTAGACGCGTGGCGTTGGGTGCTACGGCGCGCGGAAGGCGCGCTCCGCGAGGGCAATTCGCGGGGGGTGGGCCGCGGCGTGCAGCGTGCCGCGCCAGGCTCAGTGGATTCGCCGTAAAGAAGGAGTCCGCGCAGGAGAGGTGAGCGCGGGCCCAGCCGCGGGGCACGGGCATGCCTCAGACACGGGGCGCCGTGTACATCGACGCGCGATTGCGGAGCGGCGTCGGACCCAGAACAGCGTTGGGGGTGCAGAAACGCGGAGCCAGAGCAGCGTTGGGGAGAGCGGCATTACTGGCGAGCCACGCCAGGGTCTTGCCTTCTTCACGCAGGTGTTCCATTCGGGGGGTTTGGTCACCCCAAGGTCGTTCTGCACCCCCGGAGCACCGTTGCACTTTCTGGGGTCGGGGGACGGGGTATGGGTTGGGGGAATGGGTGGGAGGATGGGGCCGTCGCGCGCCGTGTTCGCAGGTGGAGCGCGCGCGCGCGCGGAGGAGCGGGCCGCCCGCGTGCGCTTCGCGCCGCGGCGGGGCGCGTGCGATGCGCGGCGCGCGAAAGTTGCCAGGGGCCGCGCAGGGCGCGGCGCGGGGAATAGGCTGTCGGTGATTATGCGTTGACTTTAGGCTCGGGGAGGCTCGGGTCAGGGAACCATAATCATGACAGAAGGGGACGCCCGCGCGCGCTCGCAGGGACTGCGCGCATCAGAGCGCGCAATTGGATCGTGCGAGCAAAGCGCGTTGGCGACAGCGGTTGCTGTTGGTTTGTTTCCCACCCACCACACCCTGGGCCCCGGTGGGGTTACCGGGGAGAATTTGGGATGGGCGCCGGCGTGGACTTCGCCGTGCAAGAGGCGATGCGCACCGGCTGCGAGGGGTCCTGCCTCGGGTCGGCCGAACGTGTGCGTCGCAGGTGCGAGAACGCCGCGCAGGTCAGCGCGTGCGGGGAGGGGGCCTTCCTTCCCTGGTGGCCGCTGGCAGCGGTCGCATCACCAGGTGTAACGTCTGACAGGTGCGCGACATGTTTTGCGCGCGCGAACACGCCCGCCGTATCCCGACCCCCGGCGGGGTGCTCGGGTCGGCGAGGGCGGCGCCGGACGCCGGCAGTGTTCGCTT